AAAAAAAAAAAAAAAAAAAAAGGGAAAACTGTAAGAACTAAGGGTACGATCCGATATGCTTTCATTGAAAAAATGTTCTTCACTAGAGAAAGTGTTAAAATATATTTTGGAGAGATTCTGGAAAGTATGATGTAAGATGGAAATCTAATAATTAAAGTTGATCTGGGGTAAAATTAGTAATATAATGAGTGGTAGGTGAAAATTTGTAAGTGGGTCAATAGTAAATTTGATGGGTAAATAAGTAGTGAGTGAGTTTTATCAAAACATTTAACCTGTAATTGAGGAGATAAAAAGTGAGATGAGTGAATAGTGTACTATCTAAAAAAAATCTCTAGTGAGATGAAAGTGGTAAATATTTGACCTCAAAACCTGAAGAAAAGTAATAGAATGAATGATTTAAACCGACATAGAATTTGAGATTCATCTAACAGAATTAATCTTATACAAGTTTTTCTCATATGCAAAGCAGCTATCAAAAATCAAAAGTAAACAAATCTATATGTACTTAAAAACATATTGTTTAGAACCTCTTGTGGAGTTCTCAGACACGTCCCTGACTGGAATCTTCATGATATCAAATTGTAGTGACCGCAACAAAGACGAGGTCTGCGTGAGATCATAAGAGGACTGCTGTTGAGCTTTAAGAACTAAGCATGCTTGAAATCATATAACAAAAGCAAAATTATGGACACCTTTTCAAAGCATTTGCTCAATGGGCACGAAATATCCAGCCAACTCCATTTTGCATCTTCAGATATCTTCCCAATCAAGCTGCCATACTTGATTGTGGGAAGTTCAACAGGACTACTGCATACTTAAAGATATGAGAAAACAAAAATCAGTGAATTGGTTCTAAATTGAGTATTAGAGTTTACGAAAAGAAGTACCCTTGAGATTCAATGTATTTACAAACAGGAAACCCAGCTACCTTTGAAACTCACAAATACCCACTTCACATCTGTTTCTATATAAAAAATTGGTTTGTTTGAGAAGATATCTTGTTTAGAAAATGCAAACCTCAAGGTCAAGGGATGTTTGTTAAAACTTATGAGGGTGTTTTCAGAGGTTCGTGGAACTTTTTGGTAATTAGGATCTATCTGAGGCTGGTTTTTTGTAATTTTGTCTATTTGCTCCTACCGGCAATAATATTGTCACCGTCCAGTGCAAGGACATCCCATGAAGACTTTGACGTGTCCGGACTAATCCTTGATACTTGTCCACTGTAAACATTAAAAAGGCATCAATTGTACTTGAGAGAAATTGACTGGATAATAATATTTTTCAGATTGATCGACAAAGGTCTGAGTTATCTGGATTACCTAGATATATTCACTGAAAGTATCGCTTGAGTGCTACCCCAAACAGATGATAAAACCATCGTATTTCCATCGGAAAGCCAAGGCCTATTAAGGAACTTTGAGCAATAAAGCCCTGGGAATAAGCCATCCTCAGGGCACATCACCACTGATACCTAAAATATAGCAGAGAGAAAGAGAGAAAAATAATAATAACCTCCCAAAAAGCAGTGTTTTTTTTTTTTCTTTTCTAATTGAATGTCATCAGAATAGACAAGGAGCAGCCTAACAGTATGTAATTGACCCAACAATGGTAATAATACCTAAATATCTTGTCTAAGTTAGAAAACTTTTAGACCTAAAACAATATAAAGACTTGAAGAGAAGATTTTTGTTTTTAGGGGGACTGAATGCCATACTTTTATTCCCATGAGCGTCAGAAATGGTATCAGCAGATAATAACAAACATAAAACATAATGAAACTGGAAATCCACTGTTGTTAGGTAACATGTGAAAAGCATAAGTATTAATTAAGAAAAAATCAGAGCATACCACATCAATAACTTTCAAGTTCCTCGCATCCAATTTTCCAGTGGAGGGCCACTGGATCTTATGAAGTGAATCTGTCGCTGAATGAGCCCAAGAATCAACTGAACTTTTAGCAGACAAAAATACAAGAAATTTCCCGTCTGGGCTGGAGATAGAGAACAAATCATAGAAATCAACTTCTTAGGAGAAAGATTAAGATATATATGCAGAACCCAGATGGCCCACTTTAAATTCAACAAGCTTTTGATTTTAAGTGGTTATTAACATACCTGAAGTGAGGGAAAAATGCACTACTAATGCTTGGGGTTAGATTTATAATGAGTGAATCTTCAGCTTCCTTGCCTCTGCTGATACAAGAGAGCAAGCAAATCAAGAGCTTTCGAGCATGACAAAGCAACTGCAGCGTATTCAATCACTCGTCGCAAAAGATCAAAGAAATCAAGACTAATGGAGTATCGGCCAGCACATTTTAATGCAGAGGTGATTATTTTAGTAAGATATAAGTACTAAAAAGATCAAACTAAATCACGTGGAACCAGATATAACAGCTGATAAATTGTAAACACAAAAAAAGGTGATTCATATGAGATGGAAACAACGATTTTCTTTTTTTGGGTATTCGCAAACACAATGTTGTTAAAAGAAAAACATTACAACTCATAGCTAGCACCATACCCTGTTAAACTAGCCTCCAATCCAAAAAATGGAGCTTTGACCGCATACAAAGCACAAGGCCTGTTATAACAATACTTGATACCCAGTTTCCTACTATGTGATGGCCACCCGACAAAAACCAGATACTGCTGGCCTTCGGTCGTTGGGGCCCATGCAACTTGCCCGACGCTCAGCTCTCTTCCTACTTCCTTGACAGCACGTACTTCCCCACTGAAAACAAACAGAGTTGCTTTCTTAGGCACTTGATTTGCAAGAAAGAGTTGGAATAGAGAATCAAAGAAAAATCTAGTTATTGTTTTACCTGTTAACGTCGATAACAAAAAGTGCAGGCTGTCTTTTACCAGCATAGGATTCTCCCCAACCCTCTTCCCAAAAGCCTTGACCTTTCCAGCTACCAGAGTCCTTATCGGTGGTGCCTTCTTTTTTGTAACCAATATTATTACTGAATGTGGGTTTGGGAAGTTCAGGTTCCTCAGCAACGTACGCTATGTGATTTTCATCCAAGTCCCATGAAATGCCTTCAAACCTGCGACCAGAAAACTATTTAAAAAAATATGGAAAAGGGGGAAACAATAAAAGAAACTAAAAGTACACTTGACAAGCAGTCCACACCCAATAGAACAAAAAGGTGAATTGTGTGTGAGTGCGTGAGAGAGAGAGAGAGACAGAGAAAGAGAGAGACAAAGACAGAGAGAGAAAGAGAGAGAGAGAGAGAGAGAGAGAGAGAGAGAGAGAGAGAGAGAGAGTCAAATACACATTCTACACATAACACAAACACACAAACAAACATTGCACCTATTTCAGATGAAATCACATATAGTTTACAAATATATATTTCTATATTTACATAATAACAATTGAGAAGATGTAAAGCTTATCAGGATTTGAAATCTTCCCAAATCCACATTACACTTCAAAAAGAACTTAAATGAATGTAACTAAAATCAAAGGTGTACTTAAAACACACGGATTTTGGATCATTTTTAAGATTTTGAAACAATTTCAATTTCAAAACAGTCCAAACACAACCTTATATGTTGTCCATTTAATCTTAGATCAATTCCATTCTATGCAGGCATGTGTGAATTTTAACTTCCTTGAAGCCTAAGCAGCAATTTCCATGACGCTACGTATGATGAGAATTTCAATCTGTTACAGTTGTTTTCAAGATCAAGATAAGAATTAAAATCTCATCCTGAGGATTGATGTGGTGTCAATTTTGACGGTATTATCAAACACATACTTTTCTTCCTTTATTCAGTTCTTTACTTCAATTCTTAAAACAAAAGTTACAGTGCCAATCAAATCAAATTCTAGTAGTCATTTCATATAAACGCATTTACCATCCATCTGAATATACAGATCCATGGATAGAGCGAGAAATTGTAAACTCCTTGTTAACTCCAGACGGGCCCCATATCTCAAAGTGTGTTGGGGAATCACCTTCAGGATTTCGAACTACAAGAAGCTTTGATCCTGATGGAGATGGAACCATTGTAGACACACCCGTCATCTCAACTGGAAATGGGGCCCAGTGAAAACTCACAGAGTTGTTACTCTTCCAAAAGATATGACTCGATAATATTGATTTCCGCCTCTTGTTGGACAGCATGTTTGGTTGGCCGATTAAAAACATAGCACGAGAAACATCTTCTGCAAAGAATTATATAAATATAACCATGTTGAAGTGTATGATTTCAAGTTAAAAAAGAACGCATCTTTTATTTATATAACAAAGTTGTAGGGTAGAATTCAGAGAAAACAAGAAAAAATAAATATAGAAGTACCAGTCTCAGATTTAATAGTCCATGCTTTGTCAATGGTAGGGATATCTGTGAATTCTTGAAGCAGCTTAGAAACAGAAGCATACTCTTCTTCGGCTGAAGCATCTACGCCGACTGCAAAATCTTTTGTGGGTATCCCTCCAGCATTATCCATGACTGATAGAACTTGTAAACTTCTGTTTCAAGTTTTGTAAAATATGAATCGCTGTAAGCGTGAAATAGGCTTAAAAATGGTAACTTTTTAAGAAGCAAGTAAAATCAAATTGAGTAGTAGGAGAGGGACATGAGAGGCATGAGGAAAAATCTACTGAAAAGAAACTTACAATATTCTTTTCAACTGTATCGATTAACAATAAGAAGATGAACAAATAAGACAAATAAGGCAAGGAATCATTTACGAATTATTCACCATGTCCATCAGAAATATAAGATTGACTTCTCATTCAAAAAAAATAGATGAATTCATATTTCTTGGAACAAAAAAGGTACACTCATACGCATATTGTTTCCAATCGCAAAACCCTAAACAACTTCAACGGACCAGGCCACATTCACATTGGAATACATTAAAGCAGAAAAAGTTTCAAAAGAAAGATTGTTCAGTTTTTCAGACCCCAAGACAAAAGTCTTGAGTTTCTTCACTAGTAACAAGTGCCAAAGGCTGGTAAACTTCATTAGCTTTGCAATCCATCTCATTACTTTCTTAAAGAGAATCTTGCTTTGTATTGAGCTCAAGACGACATAAATGTATGATAAAACGCGTGCGAAAGCCGAAAAATAAAAATCCTTTCTTTCTGATCACTGCAAAGCAACATCACCTTCTAAGTACGTTAGTACCACCAAACAACACATCTTCAAGAATGAAATACATAAAAGAAAATGAATATGCTCACACTGGACAAATCCTTCACAGGAACAAAAGTCGCAACAAATCACACACATAACAAATTCCATAAAAGTCACAGCTTTTACGATTCCGTGCTATAAAGAATCACTGGGAAACAACTGACAATTAAGAAGTCGATACAATATGCACGTATATATACATAGAACAAAGTTATCATGGAGACGAATCAGAAAAAAATGGTATCTGGGACATCATAAATGAGTATGAGAATTTATCGACAGTTACCTATATATGAAGGGCCTGCCGGCAAAGAATGGTTTTCTGGGCACAGTGGAGACTGAGAAAAGAGAGATGGAATTGAAGTGGGACTTTGGTAGTGGTACTGTATTGGTGAAGTTGAGTAGTTTGAGTCCCAGATTCATCATAACCAAGAATCTTTCTTTTTTTTTTTTATTGCCTCTTATTGGCCCTAAAATATTGCACAACTGAGTTGGGGATAAGATTATTGTTCCCTTTGCTCTTAATTTAGAATTTAATAAAACATTTAATAAAATTTATTTTTATTTTTTTTAAAAGGAGTTACAATTTTTTAATTAATTAGCCACTAATCTGTTAAAACTGTTACATGTTAATATATATTTTTATTATTTATTTTTTGGATCAGTTATAAAATTAATTCTAAATTTGGTAGCAAAATATTCAGATGTGTAACGGCTAATGTTGGAATTTAAAGTTGATTGGCACATTCAGAGTTGTAACCGCTATATTTGGTTGCATTGTTGGAAGAAAAATATGATTGGCACATAATTTTTTAAAAAAAAAATCAGAAACACCAATTATTTTTTATGTTAATTTTCTTAATATATGCCACAAATATATAAATTATTTTTTTTACTAATGTAAACGTTGCATGGTTAAAATAAAATTTAAATTTCAATTAATTTTGAATGATAAAAATAACTTAAGAAAAAGTAATAATTTTTTATATTATAGAAGTACGAGTCTAATTAATAAATACAAACAGAAACGTGTTTTATATCTGTGCAAATGCACAGGATTAAATACTAGTAATGGACTAACAATAGTCCTTTGTACAAATTGGACTATGAATAGTTCCATTATGTAAAAATGTCAAGAAAGGCGGAAAAAGGGCATTACTATTTACCGCATCCCTTGGACGATTTTGCCCTTTTCATTTTTTGTGTCCGCAAGATGTCGACCAGCTCGGAGGTAAAAAAAAAACCGTCCGGCCACAAAAACCGCCGGCACCGGTGGTGTCCGGCCGACCGGACCGGACGTCTTAACACGCGCCCGGCCAGTTCGAATGGACACACCCCCGGCCGTGCGGTTTTGCTGGTCGAACGTACCGGTGGTTGTACTAACGGACCGGTCGTACGGCCCACTTGGTGTCGGGCCGCGACGGCCGGTTGTTACCCGGTCCGACCGGCCGGACATCCTTTTTTTATTTTTATTTTTATTTTTTTTATTATTAATTTTAAATGCTTTAAAATTATTAAATACATTGCAGGTACCTTTAGAAGATTTCGGAGGAGATGGTGTTGATTACCGTTCCGCTTTCAATACAACTACGCTGTTTATTAATGATGTGGAGGCTATTAAGGATGCAAAAATTACGGCAATTATGAATGGTTTCTTTTTGACTATTTCGAAACACAAAAAAAACCCGGAAGGCTGAAGATCTTGAAGTGCGATCGAGGCGAACGTTATAGAGGCAAAAACGTAGATATGAATAAAGCTGTTTCGAGACGTTCAAAAACGAAAGCGTGCCAGTGCCCTTTTGAGATACAAGTAAAGCGTGTTGCCAGATCGACATACTGGATGCTCCACACGAGTCAAGACGAAACGAAGGGACACCATAATCATTCATTTGCCGTGTATCCTGAGGGCCATCGACAGTCGAGCGGCATAAGCGTGTCATCCAAAAAAATTATTCGTGAAATGACTGCTACGCATGTGACACCAGCAAATATTTTGGCCGCCGTCCAGGAAAAAAATCCACACGACCATGCTAATCGGCGACATGTATATAACTATAGAGACTGGTTGCGTAAGGAAAGTTTTGAGGGTAGGGACGTTCCTACCCAACTTCTACATTTGGCAAACAGCAGCAACTACATAGTTTATACAAATGTCGATCCGGATACAAATGCGCTGACACACATATTCATGGCCCATCTTGATTCAGTGAGTCTATTCCGGACTTATTATTGGTTTGTCGGCATAGATTCGACGTACAAAACCAACAGGTATTTTAAATTTATAGATATGTTATTAGTATTAATTTAAATTTGTATTTTGGATTAGATTTAATGTGATTATAATTTATTTCTTTTGGTCTCATTTTCACAGGTACAAGATGTTGTTGGTCGAGATGATTGGCATGACGCCGTGCAACAATAACTTTCTAATTGTGTATGCCCTCATGAAGGACGAGAAAGAGGCCAGTTATGATTGGGTTCTCGACAAGTTGAGACTTCTCATAGGCTATACGGTAAGAATTTATATGAAGTACATGATTAATTTAATTAGTATATAAACGTACTTTGTGCAATATGGTAAAAAAAAATTGAGGTTTTTTTTGCGTGTCTCACTATTTTTTTTACGCTGCTCAGGTGCATCCTAATGCGGTTGTCAGTGACAGAGAGTTGGGCTTATTGACTCCTATTAGGAGGCATTTTCCCCAATCTACCCACTTACTCTGCACGTGGCACATCAACAAGGATGTGGAAAACAAAGTGTACAACTTGTTTGGGAAAGATAAAAATTTATCTGAGAGGTTCTTGCGCGGTCGGTGGAAGTCGATTATGGATGCCAGTACGTCGGATGAGTACGACACTGCCGTAGCTCAATTGAATGCAAAATACGGGAATGATTCAAAAGTGGTACAATATCTCGAGCATACGTGGCTAGGCCACAAGGAAAAGTTTGTGAAAGCCTGGACGAACCAAGTAACACATTTTGGCAACACAACTACCTGTAGGGTGGAAAGTGCCCACTCTGTGTTGAAGCAGTGGCTTCGCACGTCGACTGGCGCGCTAGATACAGTGTGACATAAGATTGATAAGGAGATCGAGTCTCAATTGACTGAAATCAGGTACATTCCTCAAATATATTATATATAAGTATAATATATTATATTATAATTTGTTTTGTAATGTGTTAACAGGACAGCACTTGAGTCTTCGAGACTTAGGAAGAGTACGGCATATACGGGATTGACTCTCGCGTGCTTGACATTGAGAGTCTCGCATTACTGTATGAATTTATTGAACGATGAGCTAACAAGGATGCGAGACTTGAGCCATGAAGTTTACTTGCGCTGCGGCTGTGTATTGCCTACCACACATGGAATTCCTTGTGCATGTACGCTTCGTACAGCACATGATTCTAAAATGACGATTGGTATTGACATGATCCACGAGTTCTGGAAGACACTAGAGATGTTAGAACCAGGTAATTTGTGGTTAATGTTTATTTATAATTTTTTACTCGACTCGTGTCACATGGTCACACGAGTCGTGTGCCTACTGAGGAGAATGGATAAAAAGACACGGGGTTTTCACACGACTCGTGTCATCCGGTCACACGAGTCGTGTGCCTACTCAAGAGAAATGATAAAAAGCCACGGGGTTTTCACACGACTCGTGTGCCTTGTGACACGGGTCGTGTGAGCTCACACGACTCGTGTCACATCTTCACACGAGTCGTGTGACTAGTGACTCTCTGAAAATCTGGTTAATGTTTATTTATAATTTTCTACTTTCTGATTCATTTTAAATTACACATTAAAGTATATTACTTTGTTTAATTATTTCAATTTTTGGATCGTATACTTTTAGGGACAAATCACCAGAGCCATCATAATCAGGGTGCCTGGACAGATGTTGAGTTTTTTCGGACGCTTGCCAAAGAAGTTGAAGCGAGCGATCCTGCGACGATGCGGTACTGCAATAACCTCATTTACGGTCAGCTTTACCCGGACCAACAAGCATATGGAGAACCGGAGGTTAAGGAAAATACGCGAGGTCGTCCCAGAAAAACTGATTCTACTAAGCGTGAAGCATCGCGATGGGAGTATAGGGATAATTCGCAAGGTCGTACAAGCAATTCTTCGCGTGGACGCACTTCTTCGCGTGGACGCACTTCTTCGTGTGGACCGAGAACTAGCCAATCTTCTGAACCGTCACAAGAGGCACACCAAGGTGACATTTATTTTTTATAAAGTTGAACGTTAATTATAATGTTAATTTACAAAATTATATTATTTTATTGTGACGTAAAATTATTATGATGTTCCAGCTGGTACCGAGACAGATATATTTAGCTTTAAGTACAGCAGCAGTGTTCCCTGGCATATGTTGGACTACGTAGTGAGCTACTTGAATGTGAAAGCAGATGGGAACTGTGGATGGCGGGTCATCGCGAGTTACATTTACGGGGATCAGGAGATGTGGCAACTCGTACGAGAGAACGTTGCCAATGAGATTTACAGCCACCGTGCCTTGTACGAGTACATCTATTACAGGGATATCGACACGGCACTCGCTCGGATAAGGTGGGACGGGAGCGCTTTTTATTATTATTATTATTATTTTGCTAATATGTATATTTTATATTTATTTTTCTTTTATATTATAATTATTATTATTCAAATGCTAATATTTTAATTTTATAAGGTGGGACGGTGGCGCTTGTGGCACGGGTCACTGGATGGACACTCCAAGCGACCTCTACCCTGTTGCAACCCTATTTAATGTGGTTGTCGTTCTTTTAAGCTCTGGTCGCGATGGTCGTATGTCCAACCAGTTCAGCTGCACAGTATTGCCGCTCGCTGCAGCATCAACGAGCACAGGGCCACGCTGTGAGATTTGCATATGTCATCTTGGTAGCTACGAACACTACATTCGGTTAGATTTGACTCCGGATTGTCCATTACCGCCTATTCATAGTATGTGGTTCAGACACCGAACTTCTTCGGTGGAGAATTGGGAGAATCAGTACCAGTCTAGGTTGCAATTATGGTTTGATGCTCAAAATAACCCCTAATGTATGACATATTTTCTTTCATTCGATGTTCGGTTTTATGTTGTTGGGAACTTTAAAAAGATTATGTTTTTTCATTATATGCTTTCATTTTATTCTTGTTTATAAAAAAAAAAA